GGCGCGGGTCCCCGCCCGGCAGCCGCCTCGAGGTGCAGAGCCCGCTGGGCCGCGACCCGCACCGGCAGAAGCCGCACTCACCGCAGCGCGGCGCGGACCCGGGAACGGAGACGGCGCCGGAGCCCCGCCGGGCTCAACGCGCTCCCTCCGCCCGCAGCGTTTGCGAAACGCCCCGCCCCGTAGTGCCGACGCCGACGCACATGACGTCAGCACGCCCGCCGCGGGGTTCGCGGCCGCCGCCGCGCGAGGGCGCTCGGGAGTTTCCGTCGTCCCACCCGCGCGCCCGAGGCTGCGCTGCGGCCCGCGAGGCCAGGCGAGGCGCTGTCCGCCGCTGCTAGGGCTGTGTGCGGTGCGTCTTCCCGCGTCCCTCCCGGCGTGGACCCGAGGGCCGTGCCTACCGTGAGCGTTGTTTCGCATCAGGAAAGTAACGAACCGGTTTTTCTTCAGCGCTCCAACGCGGCGCGACCAGGTAGATTAATTGCCAAAAGCAAAGCGCTGTGAAAGAGCGTCCGCCGGTGTTGTCTTGTAAGCGGCCAGTGCGTGGTTTGGCTTTAAACCTTTAGTTTTCTCTTCTCGAGACACAGGTTTTTCTTAATGGCTGTTTTAAGCCGGGCTTGGTGGCGCACGCCTGTAAGCCTAGCCCTCCCTCGGGAGGCTGAGGCAGGAGAATCGCTGCGAGTTCGAAAAGAGCCTGGGCTACAGCGTGAGCTCAAAGCCAGCCTGAACTGCCAGCGAGGCCCAGTCTCAAAAAGACAAAAAACAAAAGAGAGTCTATTTTAAATGCTCACCAATAGCAACCAGGCTTCACTATCAAAATTGTTTGACTATTTGAATAAAACGGAAAGTATTCATTCGTGTACAAGCACACGCGGGATCGTGCATAAGCCGCAGAGGCGCCTATCCAAAAGGTAGTTAACTGGTAGAAATTGTGAATAAAAAATCCTCGGTTTCAGTACTAGCCGTGGAGCTTTCCCCTCTCTAGTCATGTGACCGCCGTGGAACTCAGAACCCGTCGTAGCAGCGACCTTTTGAATATTTTAACTTATGTTCTGCGGAAGACAGTCTTTGTCAATGAAATCAGATGCGTTGTTCTCTGGGGAACTCCAAGGGGCAAACATTTCAAAAATTTACAAATAAGCCACTTGCTGAGCAGTCGGGGGAATCCCGGACGCCGAGCCATTTCCCATTTCCGCCCGTGTCATTTCTGCCTGCCAGTCAGTTCCAGAACGGGCGGTCCTCTGCCCAGTGTTTATAGTAAAAGGAAAGTATTTGTAGCAGTTTGTGATACAGAGAAAAAAATGCCACGGTTCCCAGTGACTAAAAACTTCCAGAAATGCCCAGGCGGCTCAGTAGCAGTTGAGGATTAAGTTCAAGTTACTATTTCTCGGAAGGTTCCAGAACACTCCTAATATATGTGGGAAAACACATTTAGTGAGAATTGTTCATTTTGAATTCAAGGGTTTTTTTTTTTCCAGTTTTGTCCTGACCAAGAAAAGTAAGATAATGAATGTAATTCAGGAGAAGGGAAAATTTGCATTTCAAAAACAAAAGCCTTAGATGCCTCCCTATGTAGGAAACCATTCAGGTAGAAAGAACAGTTCTTTATTGTTTTAGATTGCTTACGGCTTTGAAGTCTAGTACTAACACATACTCAGTTGCCCATTTATTCAGTGTCTTTTCCTACTGCCAATGCAGAGTTGCTGGTTATTATTTATTTATTTTTCTTTTCTTACAGTACTGGGGGCTTCAAAGCAGAGCTTTCCCAGGTGCTCAGAAAGTGCACTACCACTGAGCTATATATCCTTTGCCCCTTTTAAAAATTTATTGATATGGAGTCTCACTAAAGTAGCCAGGCTCTGCTTAAAGTAGTAATCCTCCTGCTTCAGCCTCTCAGAGTACTGGGATTGTAGGCACCAATCAATACAGCTGGCTACATCTTTCTGCTTTATATAGAAAAAAATAGTTACAGGATACAAGACAATTTTGAAGAATACTAGGATTGAAAAGACTTGCTTATGAAATAAGTTATATAATGAAGCCACAGTAAATGAGAGTCTATTATTGAAGGGACAATTGAAAAGCCCTGCTCCAAATATAGATACAGGTATATAGATAGGTATATCTATGTGTGTGTGTGTGTAGGAATTTGCTGTACAACATTGGTATTACATAGTATGAAGGTAAACTAGTCAATAAGTAATGGAAAAGTTTTAAATATTTCTTTCAAGTTCTACCATTTCTGTACTATGGCTAGCTGACAAAAGGGGATGTCTGTTTTTCTCTCCATTTCGTACCACCAACTTTTCCTCTCTGATTTGATAACATTTCTCCCTTTTTTAGTTTGGCTTCTTTTTCTTTTGCAGATCCTCTGGCACTACCTTCCTGTTCAGTCTCCCTGTTCCAATTATGTCCGCTTTATACAGTAAAAGATTATCACTGAGTTCTGTTTATCATAAGCAATCTTTTTATGATTTACTTTTCATTTAAAAATATTACATATATTTTCTATGCCATCTCTTAAACAGCAAAATAATCTTTTTGACTTAATATCCAGATCTGAAAATCCCTTAGTAGAAAAATCCCTAGCGTAGAAAGGTACTTGTCCACCATTGTGGAGAAGTACTATAATTTGGTCCCCTGGAGCACTCCGGTCTGTACGGCAGCTAGAACCTTTCTTTCTGTCCTCAGACTGGTGCACCAGGCTTTGGCATGGTAGACCCTGCAGGACGGTTTGCTTTCCTGTCTGTTCCCTGATAAAGAGGAAGCTCACCGCGCCCTGAGCTCAGGAGTGTGAACGCCCACAGCTCCTTCCAGCCCAGCAGACAGTCCACTGCCAGTCTGGGAGGTGGAGCGGTGCTCTCGGGGCACAGATCCGGCCACAGAAAGGAGACCCAGGGCACCCAGGACAGGTAAACCCAACCTGCTAGATAACCGGGAGGAGTTCACGTTCTCCAAACTGGAGGAATGGATACTAGGAGCCGTGGAGGCTAAGAGCAGAATCTTTAGTGGAGAAGGATGGCTTCTAAGATAAAAAGAAGGGCCTGCCAAAGCTGTGGCTATATTTTTATACTTGTTTTGGTTAAAAAAAAAAAAGTCAGTAGACTCATAAGATTGCCCAGGAATCATTTATTCTATCAGTGAACTTATCTGTATTATAGTCAGTAGTCTGCCCAGTGCTATAAAAACCAGTCAGCATCATTTTGAGGGAAGAGGAATTCATCCCTAGTTCTAAGGACTGAAAGGCAGATAAACTGGAACTAAAACTTTCGT